GACTGGGCCCGGCGCTGTGGGAATCGGCCGATTATACACGTGGATCGCGGAAGGAGGCTCGAGTTTCGTAATTCCGCGCCGGTTCCTGAGAGATGGATTGGATTGGTTGCCAGGAGTGGACAACGGAGTCCCTAGGGAGAATTGACTTCGTTGCCTGGAGCGTAGTGAAACTTGCGACCATCTGTGAAATAATAGGGAGATATATGTTTTAAATTACGATCTGCAGGATGGATGGAAGAAAGTGTAATTTGATTCTTTGTTGGATCTTATTGGATACTTGAAATCTTTTAGTCTTGTCTTTAATAATATCAAATTTATTTAATAATGGAGCTACTCTATTTGGATATTACAAAAGATTTGGGATTTTTTGATTTTGAAGATATGTTATTTATTTTTTTAAGATATTCTTATTAATGATCTATGTAAAATTTAGGTATTTAGGTAGTAACTCGATTATATTATTTATCTTGTTAAAAAGAATTTTTTTAAGAATTTAGTTTCTTATTGTAATAAACTGTCTATAATATATTTGTCCAAATAGATTGCAGACAAATTATTAAAATCAGGATAATATTACGAAAATGAAATTGAGACAGAAATATAATTTAACATTTGATTGTTTTTGTTTATATAAAAATCAATATTAATTTTTTCAACTCGACTGTTTTGATAATTTTACTGTTTTCTGACAAAATTTAAAAATTAAATTTTCCAAAACAAATACTCGTAATCTAAAAATTCTCGATTAATGAGCAAACAAAACGTATTATTTGCAATAGCTCATTGTATTATGTTAATTAAACGTGTAATCAGTTTGTCGTACGCACCGCATGCACGTCGGCAAACATGTATCTCACAACACGACACGATCTATGCATGTGACGGCTCACGTTTCTGCCGGAAACACGTAATCGCATGTAATGTAATTGTGTCGACGATTCAAAATCGCCTTAGAAATCGAACGTAGAAACTGGGATTTAGCGAAAATATGCCATTATCTTGCTTGTGACGTAATGTTTTTGCACGATTGAAATCTACATTATGAATTTCTAGGGATTAATTCAATTTTTCGTTTTTCTTTTTTTCCCTGTCTACGATTCAAATAGACAAATTATTCAATGCGACATTGATAAAAAAATAATAATAATAAATGAAATCTTATTTAAGAATTTTCAGTAGAAAATAATGAAATATTTATTCGAAAAAGTTACTAGTGATTCAATCTCTCTAATTATTGAATTACGAAAAATAGATTAGAATAAAATATTGATTGTAATAATAGCTAATTAAGGATCTATGGATATCTATGGATATATGTTGTGCTTATTTATTGTATATTGAAATCTACATTATGAATTCTAGGGAATTTCTAGGGATTAATTCAATGTTTTTCTTTTTTTTTCCCTTCCATTCTACAATTCAAATAGATAAATTATTCAATTTCAATTATTATTTATATTGATAAAAAAATAATAATAAGAAATCTTATTTAAATTAAGAATTTTCAGTAGAAAATGATGAAATAATATTATTATGATGAAATAATATTTATTCGAAAAAGTTACTAGTGATTCAATCTCTCTAGTTAATAGATTACGAAAAAAAAAAAAAAATTATTGATTGTAATAATTGAATAGTAATACCTAATTAAGAATCTATGGATACATAGTAATGTTTTTGTACGATTGAAACCTACATTATGAATTCTAGGAAATTTCTAGGGATTAATTCAATGTTTCGTTTTTCTTTTTTCCTACGAAAACAAATAGAGTCGACAAATTATTCAACGCGATATTGATAAAAATAAATAAATACATGAAATTTTATTTATTTATTTAAATTAAAAATTTTCAGTAGAAAATGATGAAATAATATATTTATTCGAAAAAATTACTCGTGATTCTCTCTAGTTATTGAAAAATATTAGAAGAAAAAGATTAGAACAAAGTATTGACTGTAATAATTGAACAATAATAGCTAATTGACGATCTATGGATACATGGAATTGATTTGTCATAGGTATTATTTTCATAGATATTTTAATAAAAAATCTGTGAATCGAAAATTAGGAGTGAAGCAGAGTGGAAGCGAAAAAAACGTTGACCTTATTGCCGGAAGATTCACACGGTCGTGATTTGAACAGGTTAATATCGAACATTTTGAGAAAGTTCTTGACCCCTCTAATGACATCATGAGTTACTCACGTGAGCCTCACTGTCTAAAGTTTCCCATCACTTTCTTATAACTTTCATCGAAGCGGTCAGTTGCTTAGTGTCGTTAAGGAGGTCAATAGCACCGATGACCGAAATCTCATCTCGGCTAAGTCTCGTTACGAGATGTTAACTCGTTAATCGTTATTTAATGGAAAAGACGTGACGTGAATATTCATAAGGTATCTGTTCATTATAACAGTAAAGGGATACCTTTGTCATAAAGAATTTGAGATATGCCATTGCTCGCTTCAAAGATTTTTGATTTTTCATTCAAAGAGATTATCGAATATAGTATTAAGAGTGTATTAATTTTTCTTTTATTCATTATTATAGGATTTTATTAATAATTAATATAATATTAAGATAAATACAAATACAAAATGCTATAGTAATATTAAATAATTAAATGTGAAATATTTTCAAAAATATTTTACATCATTCTCATTCTAAGCTTACAGATTTATATTTTCTTATGATTTATATATTTATGATATATATGTAATAAATTAAACACTATGATTCAGTTAACAGTTTTGTTATGAAAAAATAATTTTATTTATTTCACACAAATTATTCTCATATACAATTGATTTATTAACATTAATAATTCATCGATACCAGTGTTCCTTTTTCAAAACTGAGGAATATTTTGCATCGTTTTCTCGATTCATTCATACACAATCTATATATTCAAATATAAAAATAATATTCAATGTTTCATCAGAAACGAAAAATTTACCAATCTCGACTTCTGTGCCAACATCTCTTTCTTATTAATATTATCAAATACTAATCCAATCATTTCATGAACCAATCACTTTTACTCGTCGCTTATATAAAGTAGATCGTTGAACAGGTATATGAGAATCTTGATAAGCAAACACGAGCCGTATAGCCACATCCTCCGAATTCATCAACCACTCTCTTCGATACGACCTCCTGGAGGTCGATGTATCGAGGAGGATCCGTGCAATCCTGGACGACGTACGCCTTTATACGGCGAAATGTCTCGCCATATAAGCCGACGTTCGAATCTTGATTCGAAAGGATCTCGCATGATGCCTTTTATTTCGCGTGACGAACAGTGGCGCGCGTTGTTCGACAGGCGCGAGGATTCGTTTGCTTGTTTGGGAAGTGGGTCGATGCTGACAATTGTTTAATTGTTGGCGAGGGGCGTGGACCGCTTTCACGTTGCGCCTCGACGAAAACGAAAACCGGGAAGAATTGGCCCTTGTTCTCTGACAAGGGTATGTATACCAGTGAGTAATTCAGTTTGATTTTATAATAATTTAATAACTTCGATTGTTGAGGATAAGAAAAAAAGAAAGAAAAAAAAAGGATTTGAACAATTCTAATTCAGTTTGATTTTATAATAATTAGTTCAATTGTTGAGGATAAGAAAAAAAGAAAGAAAAAAAAAGGATTTGAACAATTCTAATTCAGTTTGATTTTATAATAATTAGTTCAATTGTTGAGGATAAGAAAAAAAAGAAAGAAAGAAAAAGGATTTGAACAATCCTAATTTAGTTTGATTTTATAATAGTTAGTTAAATTGTTGAAGATAAAAAAAAAAAGAAAAAAAGGAAAAAATTTGAACAATCTTAATTCAGTTTG